AGCAAAATTCGGCCACCAGAAATAGATAATAGATAAAGGTGTGCTCAAAAACACCACCAAGCTCTTACCTCATTGGCACTGATCACTGGAAACAAAGTTTACCAATAAAAATTAATTGATCATCAAATACAGGAATATGACATACCCTTAACTTCTGAAATGTACAGAGTACCATACAGAATTAATTATGAATCTGACAATGATTTCAGCCAAAATGCTGGTACCAGATCGAGTGAAAGAAAAACCTGATGGTTTACACTCAGGGTCATCAAACTATGGCCTTTGGGCCAGATCTGGCAAGCTAGGACAATTTGTCTGGCCTCTTAAATTACCATTTCACCATGAGAGAAAATAAACTTAGAAGAGGTGTGCTGTAGCATGCTCAGGATTCAAGTAAAACAATTTAATCTTTTTGTTGAACTCTACTACACAAACTTAACTGACCCAGTCCGCAGCACACGCTCACAGTGGCTGACTGTCTCTTGTCTCTTGTGTTTCATACAGAGCTGCTCAGAGCAGCTCTTATAATCTAATTGCTGCCTTTTCTTCGCATCGTTTTCCTCTCATCTTTTTCCCTGACTGCTTACATTTCAACCCTCTTTTCTGTTTCATTGAATAGTACTTCGTATTCTAAACATTTATATATATATATCACACATGGGGTTTTATCAAATTTAGATGTATCTTTATCAATTTTTTGTGAGACCACCCATGAGGCCACAATAAGCGGTCACAAATTATTTGTGTCTGGAGTCAAAATATCTGCAGGCTGAATAAGTTAACATGATAGAATTAGCTTGTTACAAAATTACTTAATTGATAACTTTTTGGTAAATATTGCGATTGTTCTCTTAATTACTTATCTTTGTGTATGGGGTGCAGGGTGTTGTACCCCACCCACCCATTCCCTTCAGTTTTTAGTTGCAGCAGCGCGGTATTATAATGACATCCACTGACCAAGAATTTTAACCCCCTCCCCCTTCCCTCCAGCCAGGAGACATCATGACAGGTGGCTCTTGGCAAAGAGCTCCTGTACTCAGAGTACTTTATTTTTGGCCCAATTAAGTAGTTGTAAGTTGATATGATAAACAATATGATGCATGTACACTGAAATCATAGACCATATTATTGTTGTTCACAATGTATTTGAATTCTCAAAAATCATTTTTGTCTGACAATTTATGATGATGAAAGCTGCTGTTAGAGGAAAAGGTTGCTGATAAAGAGATTGATAAAGGAAAATAGCATAACACAAGCTTAGCATGCAGTGTGCTGTTTGATGTGGCATTATTATAAACAGACCTCAACATAAGTTAAGTACCACCTTGACAGTCAGCCTTAATTTTTTTTAAATCCGAAAAAAAAAGACAGCAAGGAATGTTTTAAAACTGTTTGCTCTGAAAGTGTTTATGGGTTAACAATGCATTCTGCAACACTTCTTAAAGGGGAAAAACGACCACGTGCAGTACGGGAATCCTCTGGGAATTTTAGCCAAATTTGCTGTTTTTTATCGACTTGTTTGCGACACCATGGACATTCTTCAGTTAAAATTTCTGGTGCATGTGACAAATGGACGTATGGTGTCATACTGTGCTCACTTTGGCGGCAATATAAGCCGCTGTTTGCGCAAAATCCAGTATTGCATCAAAATGCCACAAAGACGAAAGCTGGGAGACTTTGATTGTGCCAGGGCTATGGCATGGCTGCATGATGGAGTTGGAGTCTGACAAGTTGCCAGAAGGCTTGTAGTGTCACACTCTGTCATTGTCCGCCTGAGGCAGCGCCATCAAGCCACTGGATCAGTCCAAGAACGCCCACGTGCAGGTCGACCCAAGAAGACCACTCAGATAGAGGACTGATATGTCCTCATGCAGGCCCTGCGACAGAGGACAATGACAACAAATAGTATCAGGCATCGTTAGCGTGCTGCAACATCCGTGCCAGGCATCTAATCAAGAAACCAAGGCTGATCGCTGGACTCGAGCCCAATGGAGCCATGTGTTGTTCACAGATGAGTCATGATTCATGGTAAACCCAAAAGATGGAAGTGTGCGTGTGTGGCAGTGTCCACATCAGGCAAGCAGGGATTACAAGAATTCCATGGCCAGCAAACAGTCTCAACTTCAACCCCATTAAGAATGTGTGGGGTGAACTTGGCAGGAGAGTCCAGCAGCACCAGCCACCACCAGCTAACCGACAAGAGCTGCTACAGATCCTGCAGCAGGAGTGGGCAAACCTTCCACAGACCTTCATTGCCATCACCATCAGCGGCGACGCTGCCTTGATTGCATTGCTCGGCATGGTGGTATACCCGTTTTTGAACGGACTGTTCTGCTTTTCACCTGTTTGTTCTGCGACAGTGTTTGCAAGTGGTCCTTAACTTTTGTTGAAGTCTGTATAATACCTGTTATAACTGTTGCATAACTCAGAATTAACACAGTACCCCTATTTTTTAACTGTGATCGAGTCATTTTTCAGTTGTAGTGACTACAGAACAAAAATAAACAAAGAGCCCTAAATTTCAAGCACGCGTTTCTTCACTCTCACTACAACGAGCTGTTTGCCCCAACAAACTGAACAATATATTTGCATATATTAAGGCAGAGCTTGCTCTTTATCTGGGCTGTTGTTAAGTGGACTTCGTTCTTCTACCTTCCCAGTAGGGGCCTACCGATACACAAGGTCTCAAGCCAGTATTATAATTATGACACCGCCTACATGTGGTACACGTACTGAACAGTTCCTGCACGCTCATCCCTAATCAATGTGCATTGGCATTTCTGATGCAGAAGCCCTGTACAGTGCAACTTGCCCCTCACCCCTCCCCCACCCACGCTTGGGCGGCTTGCTTGATGATTTAATGGGTGGTGTGTTGACTGGACTGTCTGTGTAGTGTGAGTTGTGTAGGCGTTGATAGAGATCCAAAAGTTTGGGAATAATTGTAGATTATAGGCCTTCTAGAAATCTAGATTCCAATTAAAATGACAAGTCTGAACTGATGTAAAAATTATTAGGCCAGCTCTATTTCTCCGAACGTTCGGGAAAATAAACTAATAAACTTAAACTTTATTTCTCCGAACGGTTTCCGTTCTCGAGATTTGTTGATAATAATAAGCGAATGGAGTGGCCTGTGTGTGTGTGTGTGTCTGTGTATCTGTGTGTCTATGTCATGTGTGTGTAAGGTGTGAACATGGGACGGGGGCGTGGAGGGATTTTTTTTTCATGAAGGATTTTAGTTTTTGCTGGGTGACTAACTAAATGCAAAATAGGTTACTGCCAAGGTCGAGCAGTCTTGTTTTCTCACAATACCTTTCGAAGGTCTTTTCGGGGTTTTTTTTACTTATGCACTCGTCTCATGTTCACGTTTTTTATACTTCTTTTCTAGTAGTATTTTGCATGCTAAACACGAATATGGTCTTCATTTTTGCCACAAATCAATAGCTATTGAGTGATTGATGTTTGAAAATAGTCAATCTAACAATATGGGGGGGTTTCAGGGGGGCATGCCCCCCTGGCCTAAAAGGAATCTGGGGGGTTTCAGGGGGGCATGCCCTCCTGCATTTCGCAATGATTTCATCTTTTGGCAATTAGGATTGATATTTACTTGAAAACAATTGATTTGCAAGGGTTTTAGTATGGCCATACGAGTGTTCTACAGCAAAAATTTGGCAGTTTAGCCCTCAAATCAACGTATCTTTATGTGTGGGTGCATTAGTAAAAATTTACCGTATTTTCAAATTAAGTATAGTCCGGGAACGTTGCCCCAACCACAACTGAAGTATCTGAATATTCAGAAGTTTAAAAATCTCTAGCTCTAGAAATTGAATTTGATACATATATTTAACGCTTCTTTCCAGTCCTTGCAAAGTGGCAGAACGAAAGGATGACGCCTAAATCTCGTAAATAACCCAAAAATCTCGAGATCGGAAACCGTTCGGAGAAAAAAATTTTCAACTTTAATTTCA